ATTTATGAATGAAATATTATGGCAATTTCAAATAGAAAAAATAGCTGATGAGATAACAGATTAAATATTTATTTTTAAATCGTAATAAATGATTAAACAACAGCAACCACAGACCATTACATACGCCATATATGCATATAATTCAAAGACGGCAGAACAAACGCAAATGTTGAAATATGGAGATTTGGAGATAGTATTGAAAAATGACCATTTCGAATTCGTTTGCAAAGGTGGTGCAGTGATATCAAATATAAAAGAAATTTTATTTATGAATTCAAAAATTAAAGGAATAACGGATGATATAACATCAATTCCACCAGAAGAACAAAGATATTACGCATTAAATGCATTTCCTAAAGTTTTGAAGATTGGAAGATTTAATTTAAATGAGGAATTCATAAAGGTTTCCTAAATGACATAATGAAGAAAGCAGATAAGGAATATGTTAACGATGAGTTAGCAAAGAAAGCAGATAAGGAATATGTTAACGATGAGTTAGCAAAGAAAGCAGATAAAACTTATGTTAACGATGAGTTAGCAAAGAAGCAGATAATTTGTTAACGATGAGTTAGCAAAGAAGGCAGATAAGGAATATGTTAACGATGAGTTAGCAAAGAAGGCAGATAAGGAATATGTTAATGAAAAAGATAATGAAATTATAGAAAGGGTTGAATGGTATCATGAACGGACATCGAAGATTCTTAAAACTAAAGCTGATACAGGATGGGTTTCAGAATGTTTAGACCTTAAAGCAGATATATCATTTGTTAACGATGAGTTAGGGAAGAAAGCAGATAAGGAATATGTTAACGATGAGTTAGCAAAGAAGGAGATAAGGAATATGTTAACGATGAGTTAGCAAAGAAGGCAGATAAGGAATATGTTAACGATGAGTTAGCAAAGAAAGCAGATATATCATTTGTTAACGAAATATACCAAAGTTTAGTTGGAACAAAAATATTGAAACTATTGTTGGCGACTTTTCTGTCAATGAAGAAAACAAATATTTTAGATGGGAGTTTGTACAGTCCTTAAGAAATGGTATACGGTATAAACTCATTCCGAAAAATAACAATGAAATGTATGTAGGCTATATAAAGAATAATGGACACAAGTTAAAGTTCCATTAGACAACAACTGCTACTTAAACTTATATGGAGACGAACAAAAGAAATATTTAAGAGTTTATGAAATGACGGATATGACATTGTCTAACGTAGCTCCAGCACCGTATTATTATGACTATGGTGTTGACGCACATGTAGACCCAAAAAAGCAAACATTATATTTAGATTATTATAGATATAAAAGATATAATGCAATAGAAAAACGAGAATAGTATACTATTATGAAGATGACAAAAATAAATATTATAGTCAAGATTTTACATACCCTGAAAACATAAGATTATATTATAAAAATATTCTGACACAAACCAGAAGAAACCGAAATAGTTACACTATATTTTAAGTTCAAAAGAGACAATCCTATAATATCTCATATGTTTGATTTAATGAACCCAGTAGGTTCTATTTATACATCTATGGATGTGAAGAGGTCCTCAAGCAATGTTTGGTGTTGGTGCATGGGAACAAATAGTCGACAGGTTTTTGTATTGTGCAACTCTTCAAAGGAAACAGGGGGAAGTAAAACAATTACGGGTGAAAATTTACCTGCACACAGTCACTACATAGATTTAAGCACATCTCAAGCAGGTTGGCATAAGCATAGATATTGGGATTGGTCAGGAATGACAAAAGGTAAAGGATATGATGTTAAAGATGATGTTAAATTTGCCATAAATTGTTACTGGAGTGACACTCAGGGAGAAGGAAAATACACATCGCGTTTCAGGATATACACAAACAACGGGACAAAGTAAAGATTACATGCACATTTATGACTGTATTCGCATGGTATAGAGTTCAATGAACGCTCAATGTTTGTGAAACAACTTTAGGAGCTCCAAAAGAGCAAACAGCATAATTTAAATTTTTATTTTAGTATAAATGAAGATTCTACCATATGGTGTTATTGGAAGAGATAAAGATGGAAACCCAATATTTGATCCAAAGTTAAAATTAAAGTTACTGACAAGACAACAACTTGAAAAGTTGCTGAAACCAAAACAGAATGAAAAATGAGAAAATGAGAAAATGAGAAAGAAAAAAATTTAAATTATGCAATTTTATTTTTATCATAAATGACCAAATTAATTAAGCCAACTATTTCTAAATTAATGATACCAATGAAATCATTTCATGGAGTACTTATCCCAGGTTCTTCACAATTAGCCGGGGCAAGTGTTGTGACTCAAGGTGGAACATTAGCGAATCCATTCAAATTATTAACTAAAGATGAACTTAATAAAATGATGATAAAATAACTGATAACAAAATTTTATTTCACTACTACCATAAAAACAGGTGAAAAAACAGGTGATATCACCTCTTCACCTAAATTATATTTTAGGTCAAAGCTTCCACGAGAGAAAAGATTCCTCATTCGCTAAGGATTCCAAAAATGAAAAAATCATTGATTTCGGCTGAGAAAAAACAGCAAAACCCTTCTTCACGGGAACAAGAAATAAAGAAGAAATAAAAAGAATAAAGTAAATTTTTTATTTATTCCCGTGGAAGATAGAGCACTTTTATGATACTTTTTATTCACGACAAACAAGACAAATAAAGAAAATAAGAAATACGGCGCTGTCGCGGTTCGAACCACAGACCTTGACCCTCCATAACACCACCTTAGACCACTGTGCTACGTAGCCTGTCGACATAAGATTTTATAAATTGCATATTTGACGTAAATTTATTTCCCAGTTATTCAAAAATAATTAATTATTGAATAACCTAAAAACATTCACGATAAAATAAGTGATAACAAATTTTTATTTTTATCATAAATGAATACCCCACAAGCTCAAATTTACCACGAATCATAACAAGGGAGGAAATGATAAAAATGATGCAAGAACATGTTAAAAATAACAAACCACTAAAATTGAGAAATGTGGTTATGCGGTAATGATGGAAAGAGAGATGTTGTCGAAGAGGAATAAAAATTAAATTTGGATAGAGTTTAAAATTCATCTTTATTAAATTCATCTCTTCCAATCAATTTATTTATTTATTAATTCTTTTTATTTTTGCTTCACTCAGTTTAAGGATTGAACGATAAGTTTCTAATTTTTCGATTATTTCTTTCCCTCTCTTTATCGTTTTCAACCCACCACATTGTGGCTTCTTTTTGTAATAACATATTTTTTGATTTAATTCTGTTTAGTTTTCTTTTTATATTCATCGTCTGGACTCTTGACTGCTTCGTTGTTACTACATTTCTTACGAAATAAAAAAAATAAATATTATTTAAATATAATGGAGTAATAAAATAAATCGGAATTTCTATTAATTTATTGTCAACTTCAACTAATGCATTGCCGTTAATATATCTAACAAATTCAGCTATTGTGTCAAATCTTCGTCTTCTTTTTGTCATTGATTTATCAGTTTTTCCATAATCGAGATGAATCAAAACTTTATCCCCTTGTTTAAAATTCATGAGCCCCGAATTAATTTGTTCACGTTTAACATCATTCAACCTTTCATTTGCTTTCTAATATATTCCCATTCTTTTTGAAATATCATTTTTCATTTCCACCGGTTTCATGTTTATTGTTCTATGCCATGTATTATTGTAATAATACTAACTGCTGTATGATGGAGTCATGATTTCATCCAGTATATCTGACCATTAACCCCTAACGCATCTCTAAGAGTTCTCATTACCGCATCAACTATTTTATTATGAAACGTATATGGAGAGGATGAAAGTAAAAATTAATTTGTGGGAAATAATGAGCCATAGCTGCTGAATCCTTTATCACCATCACCCTTATATTATCTACTCTTTCATGATCTAGTAAGTATTGAATAGCTCTTTTGTTTCCTGTTCTGTTTTCCCTTTCACGGAATGCAATATAAATATGGTGTTAATGTTAATGGCAAATAATAAGTAACGTTTCCTCTTGAATATTCTAAATGATCGATTTGTATGAATATGGATATGGTGCAAATGAAGGGCGACTAAATTTTTCCTTTAACGGTTGAATTTTTGGGTCAGTTGGTTTATTTAATATTTTGAATCCTTTTTAAATCTTTTTGCTTCTTTAATGTTTGAAATGGATATAATAAAGTGAATGATGAAGGATTAACTGAAGGAGGAGGTACTGTCGTTGGAGGGTTTGGTGTTGCAGGTGGTTTAATTTTATCTGCTTTGATTTTGGATTTCATTCCTTCATTATTCTGGATGTATTCTATTCATTTGTTTTAAATATGCTGTATATTAAAGGTTTGATATACTTTCCCGCTTCGAGTTTATGTTGAAGGATGAATTCCAAAAGTTGATCTTCATTTAAAAGTCGGGCTGAATATGGTTTTAACTAATGAATCATAAATTAAAGCTTGTGCTTCATTTATGGTCTGAAGGACCTGGCGTTTTGCACTTTGTTTTTGTTCTTTGTTTTTGCGGCTCAGGATTATATAATTTATATAATTTATATAATTCATCAATATCTTCTTCTGTTAATACTTTATTTTTGAAATCTTTCATTGTTTAAGTTGTGATTTACTTTTTCCCTTTGAATATTCATTATTTTTAATTTTGTCTTTAATTTTAGAAATTATTTTATCATGATATTTCAAAACTTCATTTTTATAATACGAATATAATAATCCATATCATCACCCGTTATTTGTTATCATGTTTTTTGGAGATATGATTTTAATTCATAATAATTAAGAAATTTTGATTAAGTACTAATCATCAATTAAATTTTTTAAATCTACGCTATTCATTTATATAAAAATAAATAAGTTGTTTTAAGGGTGCCCGCCTCTTTGAATCATAGTATCAAAAAATTATTTACGGTTCCTTTTGTCTCTTCTGTGGCATTTTATTAAATAAATGGCATACAACATCCATTTTCACAATACAGCCTTAGTGTGTGCTCCTGTTAATGCAGTCTTACCGATTGTTAAGCGAGTCATTGACCCGTTTTTAAGTTGTAAATTAATATTCTGACCATCAAATATCACTTTATCATTTATTATATCCAAATAATTTTTAGGTGTTAATTGTTTATTTTGTCGTAAACTAACTCCTTTCATTTTTTGTGCAATCTTTTTAAAATCACTTCCATCAATTGAACCGTTGAATGAAGTATAACACTTAGGACATAAAGCAACCATGTTATCACCTTGTTTCTCAATTGCTAAACCCAATAACTTCTTCTCATGTGCTTTTTCTTCAGCTTTATTCTTTAATTTAGGTTTAAATTTCTCATTAAAACAGAAGAAATCAAAAGGTGCGAATTTGTAAATGTTTTTATCATAAAATTTTTTATCGGTTACAATTGCTTGAAATGCTTGAGTGTTAGGAAGATTTGGGTCGCCAGCGATTGCCCAATAAGATGAATCAGTATCACCTTCAATGAAATGAAAACGATTAACATCCATGCATTTATACATAAAATCATAAATGAAAACCAAATACCAGTATTTTGCGTTATCTAAAGTGAAGAATGCCTCTTGTAAACATGTATCACATCTATAAAATCTATCTTTAAGCATCACTTGATACGTATCCTCTCCTATTTCTCTTATGTTTTTAAACTTATTTGACATACATGCAACGCGTGCCTTCTGTGCATTCATTATTTTAGTCTTTGCGTAATTTTGTGTATTCATTGCATCGTAACCATATGATCCATTAAGTGAAATCTTGCAAAATAAACTTTTTCCTTTATTTCCTTCTAATTCAGCCTTTTGTCTTTCGTTCATAAATTCATTCGCAAATTCATTAAAACAAGTATTTTTCGTAAATGTTAAAATTGATTGAATGTCATCAATGATAAAATGAAATCTGTCTATTAGATACCAAAGATAATAAGAAGAAAATGGTTGATATTGGTTGTGTGTTGATGCTAACTGAGTTAATTTCCTCTGTTTCTGGTCAACTGGTAGATTGTTTGATTTCATGTAATTATACATAAAACCACCAATTGTTTTTTCATCTGTGATAATATCAAAGTTTCTTATTATTGGTAAAAAGTTTATGTAATCATTAATGTATTTTTCATCAATGTGACCCTTTACTTCAGCCACGAATAAAGTATTTTTCTTCTTAATTATTCCCAGTGCTTTTGCTTTCTTTGTTGCTGTATCACAAATGATAACACCATTCAATCTTCCCGGCATATACATTTTATGGTCAGTATATTGAATGAAATCATGAGGATTAGATGAAAATGATGAAGGATATAATGAATTAAAGTCAACACCAACGAAATGAGTCATAATGTTGGAAGTGTCCTCATTTGATACAGTTTTAGTTTCTGGATTATATGAAAGTTTATTAATGTGCGTGATTCCTTTAAGATTTACTCTATGTTGAACATTTGATAAACCACCAGTAATTCCATTACGGAGGATGTGATAAGCTTCAACTGAATCTAGAGTCATTGGTAAATTATTTTTTAATGTATAATTTCTTAAATTGATTCTTAAACGTTGAACATCTTCATCTTTATTTGATTTTACGACATTGCAATAACAACACATTAACTGACAATTTTCTTTGGTATGTGGTTTTTCATTATCGATTCTATCTAATGTTGGTTTATTAGCATATGTAAACGCTTTACCACACATTTTGCATTTAGATGAAAGGATTAAATCGTGATAGTATTGATAGTCATCCATTGAAACATTGTTTTTAGTATCCCTTTCTGCTTTTTCATCTTGTTTCTTATATGAATCAATTTTATATTTCCAATACTTTTTGTTAATTCAAAACTTGATTCCACATTTTCTTCTTCTGGATATGTTTCGTTAGGATTGAAGTTCTTATATGCTAACGCGTAACGAATCATTGATGCATTCGATGATAAAGAAAGATTATGAAGCATGTCAATTTTATAAACAAATGTTTCTTCAATAATTTTATCAATTGGGTCAATCATAATTTCAACGTCTTTATTGCAATAATGAATAAAATATTCTAATCTATTCTCAAAATTTTTAGCATCATTGAGATATATTTGATAATCTGAATCGGATATTGTTTCTTGAGTTAATGCTGAATAAAATGAATCTTGAGTGAATGGTTCCACTTTATATAATTCATCTTCGTAATTCTCCCATGTGATGAATTGATAAGGGAAAAAGGATTTAACACGTGATTTATTGTTTCCGAAATCTTGAGTGAATTGGTCTAATGTCCCACCCGCTATATAATTTTTGATGTCAATAAATCTCAATTCATATGGAACGTTTGTTTTCTTTACAATGATTTGCTTAAATTGTGAAGATGAACCCAGCATTGATTTTATTTTCCATTTTGCAGTGTTTAAATCACGAAGAATTAAATTTAAATCAAACTTTCCCGAATTAAAACCTAGGATATTCACTTTATTGAATTCCTCATCTAGAAGTTCTTTAAATGCTTCCTTCTGTTTCTCATTTAATGTATGGGACTTCAATAATTCATTGTATTGACCCATATTTGATTCAACAACTAATGAACAGGTTGAAAATAAAAACTCAATCCAATCAGAAATAAAAGAATCACTCGAAGTTAAGCAAAAATTCCTCGTATATGTTTTATCGTTTAATTTAACCGTTGATGATACCATGAATGGTTTTAAGTAAGCGTTCAAAGTTGCACACTCAGAAAGTTGTAATTCTTCTTTAGTCTCTAATGTTTCGAAGTCAAAAGTAATATAATATCTTGTCGGTTGATAATATTCCTGCAAATTATGAGCTAATAACCACTGATATATCTTCTGTTTCGTAATATGTGGCGCATATGGTTGCTGTGTCTTTTGCAATTGAACGTCTTGAATTAATCTTCCATTATTTTCTTTACATTTCTCACAATGCTTTAAAAATCTTCTTTGGTTTTTCCTTTCTGGATCATCACGGATAGAATAAACTTCTTCTTTACAATATGGACAAACTCTATAGCCGGTGAGTGCTTCAACGTCTGTAATTCTGTCAGCGTGAAGTTTTCCACATGGACTCTGTGTTAATAAAATATTTACTGTTTCAAATTCTGGATCTATCATTATTGATTCCACTAATGGAAAGTCTACCTTATTTATGTCCACGTCTTCTGGTTGAGGATCACAATAATAGAAATCAATATTAACATTTAACATTCTCGCTAATCTCTCACTTTCTGATGAAATGTCAAACCCTTCATATGCATCTATTGCTTCATTTAAATAGCTTCTACGAGTTTTAGGATTAGCACCATCAGGAATGTTATAGAAGCGTTTAAATAACCTTCTACCTTCTGCTCTAATTTGATTATCATTCATTTTAGCTGTTCCGTTTTTGTTCATTTATGTAAGAATAAAAATTAAAAAATAAATAAAAATAAAGTTTATTTTTTTTAAAGTCCAGGGCTAAAGTCCATAAAATGAATTAAGAACACATAAATTTTTATCATCTGCGACGTGACGAATACATTTTAATTTACTCAAGAATGCGTACCCTGATACATTAAATCTAATTCCTGTCTTATTTAATTTCACAACTTTGAAAAGGAATGTATGAATAGCTATAAAATGATGAGATGATGTTTTATGGGTTGCTTCCATTTTTTCTGAAATAAATGAATAAATATAATGTTTATAAGTTTTCATATCTTTTATATTCTTAATAACGAATGGTATAGACCTTTCAACTTCGTCTTCCTTCGGTGCTGTTCTTTCATATGAAACATTATTAGTATCTTCAATAATGAAACCACAATCGCATAAAATTTTATATGTACCAATTGTTTCTTTTGATATTTTATCTAACAAATCAAAAACTTTATCAACACCTGCACATTTATTTAAATAATAATTTGTGTAAATATCATGGTCTTCTTTCTTAATCGTATTTGTTGCATATGTTACATTTTTCAGTGCTTTTTTGAATTTTTCAGAATCAAGAGGAGGTGAAAGTAATATACATGGATAATCTCCATCGTCAATAAATTGTAACTTATGTTTATGAATAAATTTTGTGCCTTCTTCTGAAAGTGTTTCATCTATTTCACCATCTAATAAATTTTTAGTAGATTCCAAAAAGTAATTTTTATATCTTTCTTCATGAGATTTTTGAACTTCTGATTCTGAAGCTGGGATATTCATTAAACCCTCTACTTCATTCTCATTATATTTTTCAACTTCTCTTAATTCCTTAATTTTTTCATCTATTTCATCTCTTATTTTTTCCAGTCTTTCAATTTCATCATATTCATCATCTTTAATCCGTTCTTCATAATATTCAGGGAAAACATCAGGTTCTTTAGGTTTTTCTTCTTCAGATGTGGGATATAAGAAATTTATAACATCATCTTTATTCATTTTTCCATCATAATCTAAATCATTTAATAACTCCGCGAATTTTTGACAATTTCTTAAATAATATTTATTAACTTCATAACTCGCCTCCTCTAATATATCCTTTATTTCCTCGTTTGTGAATCCCAATTTTTTAACGTCGTTAGTCTTGACACTCATTTTCATACAAAATAAAAATAAATTTTCATAAATGTAAGACATGAATTTTTAAAGTTTATTTTTTTATTTTTTTTATTTCATTATGTATGGGTTTAGTGAAAATTTCTTACGATTCTGAAAATTTTTAAATCTTGATTTATTCAAAAACGTAAGAATAAAAACCGTAAAAATCATACATTTTTTACTTCATATGTAAAAAAAAATGATACAAAATCGCTCAAAAATGTATGAATTCTTACGTTTACAAAAAAAGTCACAAAACCCTTCAACATATACTACTCCGAATACGTTTCACAGCGAGAAAAAAATAAAAGGCAAGATAGAATTTTCTAGACATAAAGAAGTTGTTTACCGAGTTTTAGCTCTTATCTCTAACAAAAAATTAATTTTTAAAAAAATGACCGAATACGTTTCACAGCGAGAAAAAAATAAAAGGCAAGATAGAATTTTCTAGACATAAAGAAGTTGTTTACCGAGTTTTAGCTCTTATCTCTAACAAAAAATTAATTTTTTAAAAAATGACCGAATACGTTTCACAGCGAGAAAAAAATAAAAGGCAAGATAGAATTTTCTAGACATAAAGAAGTTGTTTACCGAGTTTTAGCTCTTATCTCTAACAAAAAATTAATTTTTTAAAAAATGACCGAATACGTTTCACAGCGAGAAAAAAATAAAAGGCAAGATAGAATTTTCTAGACATAAAGAAGTTGTTTACCGAGTTTTAGCTCTTATCTCTAACAAAAAATTAATTTTTTAAAAAATGACCGAATACGTTTCACAGCGAGAAAAAAATAAAAGGCAAGATAGAATTTTCTAGACATAAAGAAGTTGTTTACCGAGTTTTAGCTCTTATCTCTAACAAAAAATTAATTTTTTAAAAAATGACCGAATACGTTTCACAGCGAGAAAAAAATAAAAGGCAAGATAGAATTTTCTAGACATAAAGAAGTTGTTTACCGAGTTTTAGCTCTTATCTCTAACAAAAAATTAATTTTTTAAAAAATGACCGAATACGTTTCACAGCGAGAAAAAAATAAAAGGCAAGATAGAATTTTCTAGACATAAAGAAGTTGTTTACCGAGTTTTAGCTCTTATCTCTAACAAAAAATTAATTTTTTAAAAAAATGACCGAATACGTTTCACAGCGAGAAAAAAATAAAAGGCAAGATAGAATTTTCTAGACATAAAGAAGTCGTTTACCGAGTTTTAGCTCTTATCTCTAACAAAAAATTAATTTTTTAAAAAAATGACCGAATACGTTTCACAGCGAGAAAAAAATAAAAGGCAAGATAGAATTTTCTAGACATAAAGAAGTTGTTTACCGAGTTTTAGCTCTTATCTCTAACAAAAAATTAATTTTTTAAAAAAATGACCGAATACGTTTCACAGCGAGAAAAAAATAAAAGGCAAGATAGAATTTTCTAGACATAAAGAAGTTGTTTACCGAGTTTTAGCTCTTATCTCTAACAAAAAATTAATTTTTAAAAAAATGACCGAATACGTTTCACAGCGAGAAAAAAATAAAAGGCAAGATAGAATTTTCTAGACATAAAGAAGTTGTTTACCGAGTTTTAGCTCTTATCTCTAACAAAAAATTAATTTTTTAAAAAATGACCGAATACGTTTCACAGCGAGAAAAAAATAAAAGGCAAGATAGAATTTTCTAGACATAAAGAAGTTGTTTACCGAGTTTTAGCTCTTATCTCTAACAAAAAATTAATTTTTAAAAAAATGACCGAATACGTTTCACAGCGAGAAAAAAATAAAAGGCAAGATAGAATTTTCTAGACATAAAGAAGTTGTTTACCGAGTTTTAGCTCTTATCTCTAACAAAAAATTAATTTTTAAAAAAATGACCGAATACGTTTCACAGCGAGAAAAAAATAAAAGGCAAGATAGAATTTTCTAGACATAAAGAAGTTGTTTACCGAGTTTTAGCTCTTATCTCTAACAAAAAATTAATTTTTTAAAAAATGACCGAATACGTTTCACAGCGAGAAAAAAATAAAAGGCAAGATAGAATTTTCTAGACATAAAGAAGTTGTTTACCGAGTTTTAGCTCTTATCTCTAACAAAAAATTAATTTTTTTAAAAAATGACCGAATACGTTTCACAGCGAGAAAAAAATAAAAGGCAAGATAGAATTTTCTAGACATAAAGAAGTTGTTTACCGAGTTTTAGCTCTTATCTCTAACAAAAAATTAATTTTTTAAAAAATGACCGAATACGTTTCACAGCGAGAAAAAAATAAAAGGCAAGATAGAATTTTCTAGACATAAAGAAGTTGTTTACCGAGTTTTAGCTCTTATCTCTAACAAAAAATTAATTTTTTAAAAAATGACCGAATACGTTTCACAGCGAGAAAAAAATAAAAGGCAAGATAGAATTTTCTAGACATAAAGAAGTTGTTTACCGAGTTTTAGCTCTTATCTCTAACAAAAAATTAATTTTTTAAAAAAATGACCGAATACGTTTCACAGCGAGAAAAAAATAAAAGGCAAGATAGAATTTTCTAGACATAAAGAAGTTGTTTACCGAGTTTTAGCTCTTATCTCTAACAAAAATTAATTTTTTAAAAAAATGACCGAATACGTTTCACAGCGAGAAAAAAATAAAAGGCAAGATAGAATTTTCTAGACATAAAGAAGTTGTTTACCGAGTTTTAGCTCTTATCTCTAACAAAAAATTAATTTTTAAAAAAATGACCGAATACGTTTCACAGCGAGAAAAAAATAAAAGGCAAGATAGAATTTTCTAGACATAAAGAAGTTGTTTACCGAGTTTTAGCTCTTATCTCTAACAAAAAATTAATTTTTAAAAAAAATGACCGAATACGTTTCACAGCGAGAAAAAAATAAAAGGCAAGATAGAATTTTCTAGACATAAAGAAGTTGTTTACCGAGTTTTAGCTCTTATCTCTAACAAAAAATTAATTTTTAAAAAAATGACCGAATACGTTTCACAGCGAGAAAAAAATAAAAGGCAAGATAGAATTTTCTAGACATAAAGAAGTCGTTTACCGAGTTTTAGCTCTTATCTCTAACAAAAAAATTAATTTTTTAAAAAATGACCGAATACGTTTCACAGCGAGAAAAAAATAAAAGGCAAGATAGAATTTTCTAGACATAAAGAAGTTGTTTACCGAGTTTTAGCTCTTATCTCTAACAAAAAATTAATTTTTAAAAAAATGACCGAATACGTTTCACAGCGAGAAAAAAATAAAAGGCAAGATAGAATTTTCTAGACATAAAGAAGTTGTTTACCGAGTTTTAGCTCTTATCTCTAACAAAAAATTAATTTTTAAAAAAATGACCGAATACGTTTCACAGCGAGAAAAAAATAAAAGGCAAGATAGAATTTTCTAGACATAAAGAAGTTGTTTACCGAGTTTTAGCTCTTATCTCTAACAAAAAATTAATTTTTAAAAAAATGACCGAATACGTTTCACAGCGAGAAAAAAATAAAAGGCAAGATAGAATTTTCTAGACATAAAGAAGTTGTTTACCGAGTTTTAGCTCTTATCTCTAAAAAAAATTAATTTTTAAAAAATGACCGAATACGTTTCACAGCGAGAAAAAAATAAAAGGCAAGATAGAATTTTCTAGACATAAAGAAGTTGTTTACCGAGTTTTAGCTCTTATCTCTAACAAAAAATTAATTTTTAAAAAATGACCGAATACGTTTCACAGCGAGAAAAAAATAAAAGGCAAGATAGAATTTTCTAGACATAAAGAAGTTGTTTACCGAGTTTTAGCTCTTATCTCTAACAAAAAAATTAATTTTTTAAAAAAATGACCGAATACGTTTCACAGCGAGAAAAAAATAAAAGG